GAAAGACTGCTTCCCTGAGTGGCACCACGCTGCATGCCTTCTACTCTCTTTCTAGGGGTTTTTTAAGGGGCTGGTATTCAGACATGTCTTTTCACTAAAACTAACGTGCATTGGGGTTTGGGTAGCAGTATTTAGGTGGGACATGGTGGTTTCAAGGTATTGGCAGAGTGGGGTAGAGACATGGACATGGATCCGAAAGAAAGTTCACTAGGAAAAAGGGGAGCGGGGGCAGGGGAGGGTAAGAAGGGACCAGCAAGACTCCCAACTGGGGAATCCAGAAGCTCAAATCAGGAAGGCGCAGCAAAGGCTAGTCTTGCCCCTCCAGGCATTCAATGTTTGAATCCCTACTCCCTGCCTCCGCCCCATAATCTTTCTGCTAGTATAGCTCCAGTGACAGGGAGCTCACCCCCCTTAGGTGCCAGAGTTCCACCCTTGAGCAGCTCTGACCGTCAGTAGGTCACCCTCACTCGGAGTTAGAGCTGGCTTTCTCGTAGTGCCACCCACTGGTCTTGGTTCCAAGAGTTGGCTGATACAGAGCAGTATAATCCCCCTTCCATTTAATGGCCCTGTGGATGCCCATCTCCATATTTATGGTTTCCTTTCTCCAGGCCAAACATCTCCAGGCCCTTTAGCTGCCCCTCATGGGATGGGGTTTCAAACTGTTATTATTAATCTCATCTTGAAACATGTGGGATTGTCTTTATGTCTCTCACAGTATGGGGTCCACAACTGATAACAATGGTCCAGATAAGGTCATTTAGCCTCATAATAGCTCTGTTAGGACCAGAGCTGGGATTCTTGAGGGTCAGCGTGACTTCAAAGCCCATGCTCTTTCCACCCATTGTTGAATGAGATCAACAGTGACTAAACGCCCCAGTCCTTTTTACATAAGCTGTGGCAAAGTCACAGGTCCCCCTGTTCAGGAGCCTGCATTGGCTCCCCAGGGCTGCCTGGATTATGTGGAGGGTGCCTTCTGAGTGCCAGCCGAAGGCCTTAAATATGGTTCTGAGCCCAGCAGCGGCACAGAGCGGAGGATTTTCCTTTGTGTCTCAGATTTCCAGGAGTCCCACTAGCAGATGGGGTCCAGGTATATAGTGGGCCCTCTGGGTTCTCTGCGAGCCCACAATACCTGCTACAGTGTGCTGCCCATTGGCTGGACCCTTATACACTCCAAAGGCTTTGGCCAGCCCTCCCTCTGACCCTCTGAAACTTCTCGACCACTTTCAAACTGGGTGGACAACTCTCTTCCTAGAACCAAGAACTGCCCCCTGCTTGACCAGGTATAATGAAGTCTTTGGCAGGAGACCTTTTCCATAAAATACCTGAGACTCTGAACCCCTTGGACACAGTAGTTTGCATGATTCAACTCATTTCCACTCACGGAGCCAGACCTTCAGGCAGACTGGCACCCCCTCCTTGACCCCATCATTTCCGCCTCATGTCCCCTTCCCCCTGACCCACTGAGGAGCTCCCCAGCAAAGCCATACAGGTTGGGACACGAATCCAGAATGGCGGCTCCCTTCCTCGGACCGCAGACATAGCGTCAACATGAAGCCGGTCGTGGGAACCCAGCAAAAGGGAGGAGATATACTTACACTTACAGGTTGACTTTTTGGCACATCATAAACACCTTCCTTCTTTTGGCTGGTGGGAACCTATGGAAAAACCAGATGTGACACAGTCAAAACACTCTGGTGCTACGCTTTCCGAGAACCAAGCAACCAGGCTTCCCCTCCAACGACTATGTAAGTGTGAGCACAGCCCCTGAGGGGCCCAACTTCCAGAAGAAGGGGCTGCTGGGATCATGAAAGCTGTGGGTGAGGCTCCTTCTCTCAGGAAAACTGGAGGAGGAGGGGGGGGGTGCGAATCATTCTACAAGGGTCTGCCATGGGGCTCCTCACAGAACCACAGAATAGGAGGCAAAATGCAGAGACCTCAGAGATCACGGGGTGGGAAAATATAATCCTCATCTCACCGAAGACAAAAATGAGGCCCAGGTGCTAGGAGGTGCTAGGAGTTGCCTAAAGTGATTAAAAACAGTTTGCAGTGGAGCTTGAACTAGTCCATGCTGATTTGAGATGCAGGTTATTTAAAATACAGTAAATATCAAGGTCCTAGGACAAAGTACAGCTTCTGTTGGGATCATGCACAAACCATCCGATAATCACCAAAGGTTTCTACTCAAGAAAAGGGCCCATCAATGGCAGGAAAAGCATGAGCGAGAATCCAGAAAATCACCGATGGGTTTTTTTTTGTTTTTTGTTTGTTTTTTGCGGCACGCGGGCCTCTCACTGTTGAGGCCTCTCCCGTTGCGGAGCACAGGCTCCGGACGCGCAGGCTCAGCGGCCATGGCTCACGGGCCCAGCCGCTCCGCGGCATGCGGGATCTTCCCGGACCGGGGCACGAACCCGCGTCCCCCGCATCGGCAGGCGGACTCTACTCCCACTACCAGGGAAGCCCTCTGATGGTTTTTAACACTTATCTGTAACTTCTTCCCTCGCTCTCTTCTCTTCCTCATCCATCTGGTCTTATTGGGCCACGTGGTAACTGTCAAGACCTAAGCAGGTCACTTAGCTCCTCTGAGCTTCACTATTATAAACTGGAGCTACTGACTCTGCTACTCGCTCAGGTTATTGAGAGGATCCAAGAGAAAAGAGAGTAAATAATCAAAAACTATTAGGTTCCACCATACTGTAAAGTGTTAGAATGAAAATTTCCTTTACCATTGATACATTACGTAAATATGTATCTAAATACATATGAATAACTGTGGATGCGTGAGATACTTTTCAAATCAGTCAATCAGGGGCCTTGCTCTGAAACATTCCAGCTGGAAAGCAATCACTAGTTCATCCTCAGCAACTAGCAAAGCTTAACACAAACCTCCATGGGAGGTAACAGCCAGCAGTGGTTTTCTAAATGTCTGATAACCTGTCTTTCTTTCCATCAGACAGAGAGCCCCTTAAAAGCAAGCACAGTGCCTAACAGCCAGTAGGCATTCGGTAGGTGTCTGCTGGGTAAGTGTACCATTGAGAATTGCAGAGGACAGTGAAGAAAAGGACAAAGTATCTTTTAGGCTGGGACCAGCTAACCTCACCATTCTTCTTAGATAAGTAAAAATTTGAGCTTATTCCTTGAGTCCCTTTGTCATTTTCACTCTCATTTACCTTAAAATCCTTACAATAACCCTAAGAAGTTGTTATTATAATCCCCACTTTACGTAGTAGAGAGTGAGGCTCAGAGTTGTTCGGGAAATTTGCCCAAAGCTTCAAAGGTGGTAAGTGATCAGATTCAAATGTAGCTCATTCTGGCTACGGAACAAGACATTTATCACTAACAGTATGAGCTAACACTGCTAGGGCACTTTCTATGTGCCAGGCATCACGCTAGACATTTGTGTTTACATACATTCTCATTCTCAGTCTTATCAGGTGAGGATGACAATTGTCCTCATGCTGCAGAAGAGGAAAAGGGGCCCAGGAGGGGGGGGGTCCCTCAGTCCGTGAACGGAGAGCCAGGAGCTTAAGCCTGGGCGGTCTGCCTTTGCACGGCTACAGCGTATACAGCTGCAGCCCACCCCTGTCCCCACCATTCCCACAGCAGTTTCAGGTGCCTCTTTTCCTCTGACATCACATCCTACGCTCCCAGAAGCTCGTGCACATTCTTGTGAAAAACACGCCTGTGAGTGAGCGTGGCGGCGCAAAAGATGTGCTTTCAGAGCCGTTTCTGCAAACCTTAGTTTGCTGGTAGTCCATGAAAAATGTAATCTCTTTGCTCCTGATAAGTGAGCTCTGTCTAAAAGGAATACTCTAAGAATGCCTACAGAGTCCTTGTTAACGAGGGCCAACAAATTACCAGCCCTCACTTTTATTTTTACTAGCTCACCCTTGCCTGAGCAAAACGAACAGTGTTTTTCTGTTCCCTGTAATTCACTGCTCACTATGGGCAAGTTGAACCACAGCTGGCTCTCAATTATGCCTGCAAATGGAGGAGAAGCAGCGGGATGGCGAAACCCAAACTGTGCATAATGGAAAACAGCTTTTCTGCTTGGTTGTCCCGTGGGGGAGGTACCAATCTGCCTGTTTTTCCTTTAAGATTTATTTCTGCCGGGACATCTTCTTGGGAGGCTTGTCTGACTCTCTAGGACTGACTTGAGCCTTCCTCCGTACCCTGGTAACCTCTGGTGCATCCTTTCATTAAGAAATAAGTTACCAAGAACCTATTAAGTGTCACGCACTGTGCTTTACCCAGGCCAACGGTGGCGAACAAGATGAATACGGCCCCTGATTTATCGGCGCTCCTTGACTTGCTGGGGGGAGATGGGAAAGTCATCAGGCTATTGAAGGAGGGTGTAAAATGTGCTTTATCTTATAAAGGAGCTGTCAAACCACATTGCAGCTTCCTGGTCACTCTGAATTCCGACTGATCTATAAGCTTGCTGAGGGCAGGGCGGTTATATTATTATCCTTGTTTCCCCATCTGTAAATGGAGTTTAAACAAGAAACTTCTAAGCATCAAACATTTACCACGTGTGTGCTGAGGACAGAACACTAGAAGAAGCACTGAAACGATGAAGGCCAGAAAGTGCCTGGGTCCTGATTCTCATCTCCCCCTGCTGGTCCATCCGTCTGTAGAACCATTTCAGTAACGTGATGGTGTGCAGAGTGATCACAGTTCTGGACCAAAAGGAGGCAGGAGGTCTGGTTCCTAATCCTGGCTCTGCCACAGGCTGTGTGACCCTGGAGAGGTCACTTTGTTCTCTGAACCTCAGTTTCCTCATCTGGTTGTCATGGGTACCCAAGGAGTTACCTACAAACGCCTTGAAGGTGGGGACCTGGCTGTGGTTGCTATTACATCCTCATGTGCCTGGCACAGGCTAGGTGCTCCATACATAATTACTTTTTGAATGAACGAATGAAATTAGTCTAAAAGCTATACATTAAGGACCATCCATACGGAAGACACTTTTAGTGCAGCAACATATTAACAGGATGGAGAGACAGGTTAAGAGCTGCGTGACACAGGACTAGAGACATATCACTTTAAAATAACAATATGTGACATCTTGGGTGATTAAAAATGATTTTTGAATGAACAAACTTGGAGAATGTGCCCTTGGGTGAGCTGTGATTTCGCTTATGCTGGAAGCTTGTTAACGTATGAAAGAACGCTGGGTTTAGAATCAGAGGCTCTGGCCTTGGGCCCACCACTTAAGTATGAAGGACTTGAATTTCTTACATTTAAAATGATAGTCATCGCAACTGTTCTCATCTCATGGAGTTACTGGAAGGGTCAAGATTAAGTGATGGGTAAAAACGCTCTATACGATGAGGCTCTGTGTTGTTTTCAAAAGACAACTGATACTTTTTTCTGAGGCATGCAAATCGAAAGACAGTTATTATTATTAATCCGGTTTGGAGAATGAGACTACTGAGCCTCAAAGAGAGGGGACATTTACTCAAGGGTCTTTCCCTCCCTCGTGCTGGAGTTACAAATAGCAAAGTCAAGGGAGGCTGCAGCTTTCCGCTGGGCTCTCTGACAAGATGAGGCGAGCAAGTCATGTTCTACCTCACTTAATACATCATCATAAGACGTCTCGAGCAGCATCTGATATTGACGGTATTAGGAAGTAAAAGGAACTGACACGTACACAGAACCTACTATGTACCAAGTGCTGTCCTGGTTGCTTTACATCTTCACACCACTTCTAGAAGCAGAGAATACAGTACCCCTATTTTGTTTTTGTTGTTTTTGTTTTTTGCGGTACGCGGGCCGCTCACTGTCGTGGCCTCTCCCGTTGCGGAGCACAGGCTCCGGACGCGCAGGCGCAGCGGCCATGGCTCACGGGCCCAGCCGTTCCGCGGCATGTGGGAAACTTCCCGGACCGGGGCACGAACCCGTGTCCCCTGCATCGGCAGGCGGAAGTACCCCTATTTTGTAGCTCAGGAAATTGAGATACAAAAGTGAGGTACCTCACCTGAGGCCACAAAACAGTTAGAAACTTAGGCCCTCATTCCCAAAAACAGAGGATAAATAAAATCAAATCTGAGACTACCCTGATCAAGCTGAAGTGTAAGAAACATTGCAATCTGCTCAGGAGGCATAGATATGGAACACTTGTAGGCCCTAAAAAAACCCTGAGGCTCCCAACAGCAGCTCCCTAAGAGCCCAGCCTTACCTTTAGGCCCAAGAGCTTATCTCTTGTTAAGCAAACTGAGGCCCAGCGGACTGGTACCTTTGTATTAATGATGGACAGATGGGAAGATCCTGGGCATCAGAACTGTTAAAACAAGTGTGATTTTTTTTTTCGATAGTGACTTGAAACCTACACAGAATCTACTTGTAAAGCTCCGCCTCAAAGACATTCTGAGCTGAAAAGAGCCTTGGATTTATTTTGTGTACAGAGGTCAGAGAGATCTGGCTATGAGTGGGGGGTTCTGCCGCTTGCTAGCTCTGTGACCCTGAGCAAGATATCTTCTCTTCGCGAGGCTCACTTTCCTCATCTGTAAAGTGGAAATAATGATATAAGGTGCTCGGGGCTGCTGTGAGACATAATAAGATACTGCATGTAAGCGCCCATTCACAGGGACCTGGCTCTATCATTGTTACCAAACCCCCGCCCCCCCCACACCCCATTTCCAAGAGTCTTGTTGCTCTGTAAAGCGAGCCAGCATATGCTCCTCTAACAGTCCTACGATGAAGCACTAGCTGCAGAGAACAGAAAAGGGCCACATGCCCGAGAGACTCTTCGGTCTTATTTGCTCATTTTACGGATGAGTAAACTGAGGCCCAGAGAAAGAAAGGAATTGACAAGGTGGCTTAACTGCTGTGGATTGTGTGTGACTGGGATGAAGCCTCTTCTTTACAGCCTCCGTGTGACCTTGTTTCATTCTTGTGCCAACATGTGATTCAGGGAAAACTTATTCCCCTATTTTATCACTGGGGAAACTGAGTCTCAGAGAGGGCAAGTGTCTTGCCCATTACCCCTCAGCCAAATGTAGTTGGTGACAGAGCCAGAACTATACCCCAGTTCCCTGCTTGCTGAAACCGGTTCCTCCCAGTACACTAGGCTGCCCCCGCAGAGTCCCCCCGCAGGGCACAATGGGAGCCCTGCCAACTGTAGCTAACTCTGAAATCAGGAACCTCTTATATTGAAAAGCCCAATTTTATTTTCAAAGATGCTCCCTCTTCATAGGATGACTGGTTAGTGGTTTCCTCTGGCCTCATACTGTAACTGAGCAGGACCCTGTGGGGTCTTCCCTGGACAGACTCCTCCCCCATATCCTCTGAAAGTACCTAGATAATAGGATCTGATATACATCTCCTGAGCTGTTTTGCAGATGCTAAAACCGCCACCAAATTGAAGAAATTAACTACTTGATGACCATGAACATGTAGCCCCGAGACCCACTGATGCCTAAGGATTGATACTGTGACACCACCTTTGTTACCGCATGATTGATCAATCAGAGAACTGTGCACGAGCTGATCACATCCCTGCCACTCCCCTCCCTCACCTGGCCTTTAAAAATGCTTTCCTAAAACCCATTGGGAAGTTCAGGTGTTTTGAGCACCAGCTGCCCTGGACTCCTTGCTTGGTGCCCTGCAATAAACTCGGCACTTTCCTTCACCACAACCTGGTGTCAGTAGATTGTCTTTACTGCGTGGGTGAGCGGATCCAAGTTTGGCTCAGTAACAATACTGAGACACTGCAACGTTGTACCTTAAAATCTGGCATTGAGGACAGATATGCAACGTTTCTGTTTAAAGACAGAAACTTCGTAAGCAACGATTTTAAACAAAGACTCAAAGCGCAACCTCACACTTGGATCCAACCCAGACGGATCCAGTGGATAGAAATAGATTATTACTCCACAGGGCTGGTTAAACCAAGTTGTTGGTAGAGCTAACATTATATTTTGGTCATTTAGAATTCTGTGCACTTGATGGAAATTGAAAATCTGTTTTACTTTTGTTACATAAGTAATGCACGCCCAAGGCAGAATAACAGACCACGCAACTAAGTAAATTAAGGAAATTAAATCACTTATTTAAATACATTAACAATTTTCCTGCTTCTGTAATGTTTTTATTTCAAATTAGGACTAAAATTCTAGTCAGTGAAAAATTGGAGGTCGTCATATTTGTTTGGTGTGCGCTGTGCTGTAATTACTCAGACTCTTTGATGGAAAAGCAGAAGGGAAGCAGCATGAGTCCCACCTTCACACACCTGCCTGGGTTTGATCCCGACTCTAAACAGCTGCACAGTCCTGAGGAAGCTACTCAACATCTCTGAGCCTCAGTTTCCCCCTGAGAAAGTGGGATTAAAATACCTATTTTATAGTATATTTAGGAGAATTAACGAGGTAAAAAGTGTGTTCAGCAGACTTGTGGTTGCCAAAGGAAGGGAGCTGGGGGAGGGCAGGATGGGGAGTTTGGGGTTAGCAGATGCAAACTATTATACAGAGAATGGATAAACAAGGTCCTCCTGTATAGCACAGGGAACTATATTCAATATCCTGTGATAAACCATAATGGAAAAGAATATGAAAAAGAAAGTATATATGTATAATTGAATCATCTTGCTGTACAGCAGAAATTAACACAACATTGTGAATCGATTATACTCCAATAAAATTTTAAAAAACGTGTGTCCGGGGTTCTTCACATAAGCAGACATTTAAGAATATTACTTTACCTTCCCTTCAGAACGGGTAAAACTTTAGCTAGACTTTCTTTTATTCAGTTAATATTCCCAGTGTTGTCTCCAAATAGCATTTTTGAATTTGGTCTTCATTTTCAGTAGTGCAGTTGACTTTTTAAAGAAATTCAACAGCACATTCTTTTGCGAAATGAAGGACCCTATTATATTCCGGACAACAACCCTCCAATGGATTGCTTTAGTAAAATGGAATGTTTGATTTCTGAGTCAACGGAAAATAGTTAAGCTCCATTAAAAATTAAAACACTGTACCCAGTTGGCCATTAACCATGTCTACAATCAGGCGTGAAAACTACTGGTAAATGGCAGGGAAGTGGGAACCAATTCATGTGAAGGTATTTTAACAAGCCCAGAATGACCAGAAGAGCAACGTGGACCGTGTGAGTGAGGAGAGAGCCCGTGGCCGTTCAGCCCCTTCTGTGCACTTACTGGTGGTGGTGCAAAGGTAGGAGAGGAAAGCGGTTTTATACCTGATAAATGTTTTCTTCCATTTCGGGATCACGGATTGGCTCGTGTCCAGCCTCAAACACAATGTACTATGAGGAACGGCCAGAGAGGAAAAGTCAGAGGGGAAAATGAAAGAGGGGGGAAAAAAAAGCATTTGGAATTCAGGATACAAATCGCAGCGAGCATTAAAGACACAGGCACAGGAGAAAACACCTTAAAGAGACAACTGCATTACTGACATTCCAAATGGCCTGACACATTCCTGCCTCTTCTAAGGAAAACTGTGTCCAATGGTCAGCCCTTTAGCCATGTCTGCATAAGCCCTCTGCAGACCTCTCTGGGGATATAACCTCTTCATTCAGTGGCATTTATCTCGGCAGTGTCTGCATGTGATGGCACTGCTGAGTGGGAATGATATCTCCTGGGATCCCAACTTTGCAAACCCTGGGTTACAGTGGTCTCTCCCCTTTGCTCCCTAAGGCCCAGGGTCATATGCCGATTCTGACTTTGCTCAGAAGCCCCAAACTCCCTCATCTCATAAATATCACTTTACTTTACATTCTCAGTTTTAAATACCGAAATCAACTTTTCCATGTACATGTTTCAGACTCTAAAGGACTGGGCCATTTCAAAAAGGGCAATGCTTGTCACTCTCCCAGCCCACGAACCAGGGGCTGAGCTCATAGTTACAGACAGATCCACGCCTCTGGCATTCTAAAGCAAGGCCTGCCGTCCAGCACACCTCTGACTTTTGTTTGCCATCTATGTCAGATACTTATTCTCCTGCAAGTTACTCAGACTCTATTATTTTTTCATCCATATTATTTTCTTTCTGTCATAGCAGTAGCAGCTCTCTGGGTGAAACTCTGCATTTATATAGAATGCATGTGTGACACACACATACATAACCCATGTGTGTCCCAGTTAGAAATGTAAGTGTCAGATTGTCTTTTATGTCCCACAAGTCAAGTGTTTGGCTCTGTTCTCTCCTTGGGAATAAGCACAGAGTGGGAGAGGCCTCCTCTTCTGCATCTGTTTAAGCAGAGCATATCCTTGAACCCAAGACAGGCCATCTCTACCCACACTTAGGCTGCAACCTTGAAGAGAGCACAGAGAAAACTACGGGCAGGCATGTCTCTGGGATCTCCCTTCCCCCACGCACAACAGCCCCTGTGCCATGAGCCAGGGAGTCAGGGGGCAGCCTAGCCAATCGGGGGCCCGAGGGACTTCTCCTCACAGCCTTTCTCAAGCTCACAAACCGTCCTTCGGGTTTGTGTTCAAATGTCGCCAAAATGTCAGTCCCCATCTCTGGTTCTTAACTCGCTGAAGCCACCTCATTATTCATAGTCTCTCTAATGAACTCAGAATATTCAGGAGACTCTTGCAAACATTCAGCTCTGGGACCAAACTTTTACAGATTGTGGAGAGGGCTGAGGCAGGGCAAGAAGGGAGAAGTCCATTTCCACATCCCACGCTATTGATGCCGGCCAAACTTCTGTTAGTTTTTATGGAAATTTGCTCCTGGAGGGGGTGGCAGCCCTCACCCTCAGAAATAATCTTGGTCCCTCTCCGGGCTCTGCGGCCAGCGGATCCTTCAGGTCTCTGATAAAATGTCTATACCACAGGCCTGGCCATTCCTGACCCTCGACCCCAACTAGTTTCAGAAATTACCTGGTATACGGGATCTTCGACATCCTCTTCCAGAATTGTCTACCGCAGAGTGAGGGAAGGGAGGAGGCAAAGCAGAGGATATAAAGCGAGAGATGTGAGACGGTATTCAGAAATTACAGGACAGTGAAGAAACCAGCTCTGGGTAGGAGAGGCTGGCGGGTCATTAAGGCAGAAAACAGGCAGAAAAAAATGAAAACCCCGGTGATATTTTACCATGGCACAGTCATCTCCAAATCTAATTCCACCCACTGCAAACAACAGCAAATGCAGTTGGGTTTCCTTAGGTCTCATCCCCTGAAATCTTGCCCTGGTTTCAAGACTTCACTTTCTCCAACATGTCTAGAATCTCAGCGAATAAGCGCTCATGTCTAGTGGCTTTGCTTTCAGTCCTTTACCCGGGAACCTTTCATCTTTGTTTATTTCTACTTGGCAGCAGGAGGAGAAGCCTTGACTGTCAGTTTTCACATCTGTTTATTTTAAGCCCCTGTTGTCTCAGGATAAATTCACAGGTGTACCTGATACACAGCTTGTTCGCATTGCTTATCCTTTTGTGCCTTTTTTTCCAGTTCTTCTCTTTGCTTCAATTCATAAATAAGTTGAAAGAGATCTCTCAGGTCCAGAATAACGGGTTCAGCCTGGAGTAAAAGGTGGTAAAGCACGTTAATAAAAGGATGGTTACTAAGCTGCAGTGACCAATTTTTGCTTTTGCTGGCTACAACCCGCAGCCCTTCCTTTTTCTATCAAACTGCAAGCATTCCATCTTTAATTAATCCTACCTTGTTACATTGGTTTAGCAAAATTGCATCTAAGCTAAAGTTCGTTTCTTCAACGAATTATATTTGCAAATTCATAACAATCATAAGCATAAAAGGCACTGCTTTTATTTATTAGTAATTTCAAATTCAGTAAAGTTAGGCTAGGCCTTATGCAAAACAGCTATTTGTTCCTTCTTATTTTCTTTGTAAATGAGGCTATGAACACAAGGAAACTTATCTGTAGAGTGTGCCTCCGTCCAGCTTAATCAGGAAGGAAAACAGTTAGTCATTACGAAATGCCCATTAGAAAAAACAACAACAACACAACTGGATGGGCGTGAGCGTGCTTCTTTGCTCCGAGGCTGTTCATCTTTTCCAGATGGGAAGCTGAGTGTCAGCATCGCTGAGTCATATGGCACAGTGGGCCTCCGAGGACCAACAGTGTGGCTGTGCTGTCCTAGAAAAGGTACAAGGAAAGGCGTCCTTTTCGGATTGGGATACTCACCGCCTGGGCTGTTTTTATGGCCACAAATCTGTGATTCCCTTCCTTCCCACAAACGTATCCGAAGGCCCGGTGATCTGTGATGTCCTTGGCGATGTAGGAAATTTCGTGAACAGCATGATGCTGCTGAAGGGCCTGTGAGAAAGAAAAAGAAGAGCCTATTTCAGGGGACTTTCCCTCCGAGCTGTCGATCAATAAGAGATGTGTTTCTGCTACATGTGAACAAGCCCGGAGGCTCTGGAAAAGCTGTTTGGTCCAGATGGAAGGAAGAAGAGCTGTGCCTGCCCTTGAGAAATGGAGGTTTCCTTCCATGGTCTTGGTGCTGTGACCAGAGAGATAAACAGGATTGTTCAGATACTGAAAGAGCATCTGGCTCTTTTTTCTGCTTGCCAGGACCGGTCAGCCTCACTCAGTGGTGTAGGCTCCTGCTACATCTTTCTTCACGATGCAGAGCCCAGTCTAAGTTCTGGATTGATACTTAGTACATTTACATATCCAGGGCCTCTGCTTGCCCTGCTGGAAGATGTACATTGCACAATGACAGGGGGTGCCCTTCGCATTCAGAGAACCATAGATGTGCACGGTTATAACCATTTTCCAAGAGGTGGCGATGGAGTGACTTGAGGATCAAACACCCTTCTTTGTTTTGCCCAACGTCACCACCACACCTCTGAGGCTTTTCATGGGTTGGTCCCCATGTCCGCAACGCCTGTTCTTTTATCCACCTGCCTGAATCCTATTCCTCTTGCAAAGCCTATTTGAAATAGCCCCACCTCTGTGAAACCCCCTGATCAAGGCTTGTCTTCCTTTTCCCTGCAGATGTGATTCCTCCCGCTTCTGTGTTTCCCTAGAGCTTTAGTCTATAGCGATATTGAAACTCCTGATGGATTCCTCACACACAGCTCCCCTGGCTCCTGCTTTCGTAGATCCTCCCCCTCCGATATATTTGCCTAAATCCCAGTCTTCCCCACCAGCCTCTGTCTTCCTCACCTTTGCCATCCTAATACCTTGCGCTGTGCCTGACCCACAGTTGTTGAACTAAAGTAAATTGGGATTGCTGATCAGTAATTCAAAAATCTTTTGATATTGACCTTCCTGCCTTTATTATCTAAACTTCAACAAATAATACTCACCAGCCTGTTAAGTGATGGTGATCTTTATGGCCATTTTTCTATATTAAATGTTCCTAAAGCAATCCTCATTAAACAGCCCTCTGTATGTATCTGTGCATTTCACGATGTGTTTCAAGTCCTTTCAAAGGACCTTTTCGTTATCCGGGGTGTTAAGAAGCTTGAATTCTAGCCACTATATGTGAACACAAGGCACTCACTGTACCTCTCTGGATCTCCGTGTATTCCTCTATTAAAGAAGAGCTCTGAACCAGATCAATGGCTCCTAACCCAAAGCTCTGGATCTACTGGGGTCATTAAAAGTAATAAAAAGAGGTACCAGGCAATTTTCAACATTTCAAAAAGCTAAACAGAAATGTATAATTATCCCTCATAAGATGACACCTTTCATTGTGCACGCAAATGAAAACGCCAAGTTTATTTTAGAACCGTATCCGGTTACTGTTGTACTCCTTAGCTCATCTTGGAGCAGGTTCTCTTTGGCAATTAGTGACGGATTCAAATAATGCAAATAGGAAAGTGAATGATTATAAATGCATTTTTTTGGTGAACAAAGTTTCCCACATTACTAAGTTTGTAGAGGGAAGGAGAAATGTAACACAAGGAGAATTTGGTTACGAAAATGTTGGGAACCACTGGAGTACATTTTCTCCCAGGTCTCTTTCCATCTCCCCGGATCCTCTGGCCATTTGGATCTCACATCACACAGCCAGCCTCTCAGGACAGTGGGCACCTGCCTCTCATGAAGGCCATTGCCTTGGTGCTGGATTATTGGCCCTGACCTTCCAAAATGTCCATTCCCCAGCCTGTTGCCATCTTTCCAGGCTTCTGACCTTAGGAATCATTTCTGCAGTAGAATTTGCTGCTGCACCTTTACCTTCCAGAGTCTGGCCATTCACTCATCTCTTTACTACTCTTGGGACTCTCCAGGTGGCTTCAAGCCTGTCCAGGTTGCCCAGTGTCTACTGGACCTCATGCTTGGAGGGTGGTATCACTGCCCGGTCACCCTAGCCCCTCAAGTGGCCATAAGACAACTGTATAATTCTAGTGGATTTTCACACAAAGTTGGTGAAGAAGGAAGTATTTGTTAGTAAAATGATCAAGATCCATTTGTTCCTGTTTTATTAAGAGAACATATTTAGCTAGCAGAGAAACACTGCTCAGAGAGCAGTAGCTTTTTCATGGTGTTAATGATGTAAAATCGATGAGATTTATATTCACGAAACATGGGGGTATTGATTTAGAGGCTTTTGTGAGCTCGAATGGTATGCAGTAGGGAAAGTGGGAGACACAGGCATCGTCCTTCTCTCCCTTTCCTGCAAGGATCTCTTTCTCTGCATAATACGGTGAATGTTATCCACATCTTCTATTGAATCAAAGTTTGACGACAGTACTTATTGATTGCCAAGTGGAATATTGCTCTAAAATTAAACCACAATTACAAGTCTTCCTGGTGGAATTAGATTTGGAGATGATTGTGCAATGGTAAAATATCACCTACTAGGCAAGACAGCAGATGGAGATGTTTTAATTTATCTGGGAATGCTCATTAAGTGTTTTAAAATCAAAACATTTTTAACGTCTGATGATATCTAATGTTGCCTCGCGAAGTGTAGCTGTGTGTGTGCATGAAGTGCTTAAAAATATTTGTAACATTACCTTTTCCCATAGTCAATTTTAGGTCATGTTAAAAAGGATTGTTCTGGAAGAGGCTCATTCGTCTCCACTTTCTCCAACCTTAATCACGCACGTGTCATACAGATCCTCGGAAACACAAATATATTAGAATCCTGCTAATCCCACATTATCCCATTCATCTTGGCAACACAGAGGACCTTGTAAATACTTGTTCACTGAGCCTCAAAATTGCTCCATGCCTTCAAACAAGTCTTATCAGCACAAATCAAAGACAGTTGGAGCCAGAGGAAACTTAAATATTGTATAGTTCACCTCCGAGTTTATTCATGAAAGGACTGAGGGCCAGACTGTGTTCTGGCTGGACCAATACTTAACCCAGGCCCCACTCTCCCTACTCAGGGTGACAAAGCATTGAAAAGAGGAAACAAGATTATTTAGAATCAAGGTTCCTTTCCTCAGACTCCTGGGTCCCTAGACCAACAACAAAACCATGATCTCTGATAAGCTGGGATGAAGAAAGGGAACTGGAGAAGGAGGTAGAGTTGAGGCTGTTCTGGATTCCAGCAGGATTCTGAGGTCAGAAAGGGTCATCAGTCAGAAGGTTTGGGGTCAAGGCCAGCTATCAGGATCTCAGCGAAAAAGGTCAAGACCGCATGGTCTGGAAGGGGGCTCTCGGGCTTGGCTACCTGTGGTATCTGCTGAGCAGCCAAGGCCACAAAGGGGAGGTGAGGCCCTTGGTCACAGGAGAAGAGGACCGTTTCATCCCAGGAGTGTTTCTGTGTGGAGTTTCTGGGGCGTCATGGGTTGTTCTGGAGGTGCAGAGAATCCTGGGCCAGAGGGAGAGGGAGGGAGCGGAGGAAAGGCAGATGCTGGGTGCGCTGCCTCCACCCTTCCTTTGGAAAAGAGTTTTTGTCTTGGAAAAACTTAGTCTAGGTTATTAAAGCACTGCCCCCAAATCAAAGCAGGTATTTGATTTTCAAGAGAGCGTCTTCCAGAACACCCGATCTTTCCACCACCACTTCATTTACTACTCCTATTCCGAACCCTCTCACTGAGGATGCAAGTTATTGCTGCAGAATTCCAAGGCCAATTCAGAGAATAACCTCCCCAACCCAGTCTGACTTTCCTCCGAGGGGTGAAAATAACCTGAAGGGCTCATCGTCCCCCTTTGCGTTCTGGACTCTCCCACCTCTGTGCCATTATGCGTGTTGTTTTCTCTGCTGATCGCCGTCTTCTTCCCCTGACCCGTGTTTCATCAACTCCACCTAACTATATCACACCTAGCTCCATATCAAGGCCTAGCTCCAACATCCTGCTCATCCAGGGAACCTTCCCGGACTCCCCTGTTTCCCTTGGTAATAATTCCCAACCCTAGATTTCATTGGGTTGTACTTTTTCTTCTATGTGGGATGCTTCATAACTTCTTAATTTTGCTACACATTTCTCCATGCATATAGTTATTCACACGGTATGTATTAATGCTTATTGAGTGCCTGTTCTTTTCTGGATCTCATGCTAACTGCTACACCTACCCCAAGGATTAAAACCCAGTCCCTTCCTCAAGGCCCTTGCAATCTCATAGAACAGGCAGGCAAAGAAACTAACAACTACAATGTAAGAAGACAAGCTTTAGATTAAAGGGTTATGTAGGGGCAGAGCAGGGATGGGAA